GTTCAGACTGGGAGCAGAAGCCAGCAAGCAGCTGATACTCAAACCCAGGCTGAGACTCACACACAGTTCCAGAGGCAGAGCAATGAGAATAGGAATCAGTAGCAGGTGGAGTGGGGAAACAGGTGAGAGAAATTGTGGAAAAATGGCTGTCAGCTGTGCTGGACCCATAGCACACCTTCTGTCCATATAATAGCTTCCTTGGTATAATATGAAAAACTTACAGAACAAACACAGTTATTGCTGTCTGACTACAAAGAAAAAGGTGGAATAATAGGTTCCATCAGTTTACTTCTACATTTATTCTTGAAGTCATTCAGATCCTGTGTTCCACTGTCTGTAAGTGCCATGCTGCTTTCACCCCTGAAAAAGCAGAAACCAAGCCAAAGTATTTCTCTTTGTGAAAGACAAGGCATATATCAGAATATTTATTCTCCCAATTTTGGCATTCACTTTTAGCAGACTTTTCCAGCAAACCCAAAGAAAGACTAGTTACTAAATGAACTGTAACAGCTGCAGCCTGTGTATTACCACTTGTACATCTAGTCAAAAACAGACTCACTGGTTTCTACCTTGCCTCACATAGCCAAACACTCACAATTCTGATAGTACAGATTTTCATTAATATTTGTTTAGAAACACCACATTTCTTTGCCAAGGTCAGACTACTTAGTGCCATATATCAAATTCCAGAATCAGGCAAACCTTGTTGTGAGTTTAAGCTGGGAAACATCATAGAATTTAGAAGGAGTAAGGTCAACTAGACAGTTAACTGATCAAGCAAACATTTTCTCACTTAAAAGATAACCTTTTTCTTTTTTCTTTCCTTTTTCACCCACCCCCCAAGAGCACTCTCTTTCAGCCAGCCAACCAAAGTGGAAATGTACTTCAAACACATTCAGCCCAACCAAGTTTTCACTGCTGTCCTTGTTGGTGGTCCGTCATATGGAATGGTTTTAATACTTGGAAGCAATACCTTAAGTGTCAGAAAACAAGAACATTTTATTTCTGCAAGAAAGCTTTCCAGTACTACTAGTATTCTGGAAAAGAAAAAAATTCCTTGTAGTAAATTAAAAGGTGAAAAGCCAAAAGAAATCAGAAAGAAAACCAGGAAACTATTCCTTATGGCAAGGTTCAACTTGTATCTCAAAGTTGGAGAAAGGGCTATTACTTTGATATTTATTTCAAACCCATTCATGAATGATAGGAGAGGGGCACTTATTTTTTCAAGCTCGAATTTCTAAAGGCAACTGAAGTCTCTGGCTATGCATCAAAATCCATTTGGTACCAAGTTAGATTTAAATTGCATTGAGTCAGGAGAATTTTAGAAATTCAGGGCACAATGCACTGATGCAAGA